CCACCCCGGGTCCCGCCCTGCCTGGGCTAGCTCTGGACAGCGGACAGCACAGCGTCCAGCCCACCTGGAAACCAGTTCTTGAACCCAACAGCACGGATCGGCCTGCGGGGCTAGCCCCATCCTGGGGCTCGGCCCCAGCCTAGTGCACACCCCTTCACACCCGTCTCTTTTGCCCCACCCGTCTCTTTTGCCCCACCCAGGCCAGGCTTCCAAGTTCTAGTCCATTGCTCCATCCTCTGCTTGTCACCCCTCAGGGAACAAGACCCAGCAGTCCTGACCCGCCGCTTACGCAGACCTTGGCCTAGCCTGGCTCCTCTGTCTTCCGCACAGTCGTCATACAGTGGTTAGCAGACTCCCTCTACCCACATCCTCATTATTTCTTTGCATAACCTTCAGAGTAATATTTAAAATACAGCTCTGACTGTACCAAACACAACCACCCCTTTAAAACTTTCCAGTAGCTTCCTATAGAGATTCTAGGCATGACCTGCACCACCCCCCACCCCCACCTCTAGCACATGTCTCCAGATGAAGCCTTCAATCACTTCTTTGCTCCCACCCTACCTCTGGGCCTTTGCACATGTGTTCTACTTCCTGGAATGATCTTTCCCCTCTAGGTCTGGTTAGTTCCATCCCATTCTTAGTCTTAGCTCAGAGAAGCCCTCTGAACTTGCCAGGTTCCTCTTCTGTGTCTTCTTTCCCGTGAGTATGGAGAAAGAAGCAGGGAGTGAAGTGCACAGATTGCAGAACTCAGATCTCAGCACATCACACATGGCCTTGTCAAGTTACTCCATCCCTGTGTCTTCATTTTCTCATCAGTAAGACTGGTATAATGATAGTACCATCCTCCAAAAGTGGTTGCAGAAAGTAGACACGTTCTCCTCATACACTATTGGTGGGAATGTAAACTGGTGCAACCACTGCGGAAAATAGTGTGGAGGTTTCTCAAAAAACTAAAAATAGAACTACCATATAACCCAGCAATTCTACTCCTGGGTATATATCCAAAACCCCGGAAAATATTAATTCAAAAAGATACATGTATCCCAATGTTCATAGCAGCATGATTTACAACTGTCAAGATATGGAAGCAACCTAATTGTTCATCAATATATGAACGGATAAAGAAGATGTGGTGTGGGGGGAGAGTATAGCTCAGTGGTAGAGTGCAGGGCTTAGCATGCATGAGGTCCTGGGTTCAAGCCCTGGTACCTCCATTAAAAAATAACAATAAATAAATAAACCTAATTACCCCCCACAAAGGAGATGTGGTATATAAATACACACACAAAGTGGAATACTATTCAACCATGAAAAAGAATAAAGCTGCCATTTACAAAAACATGGATGGACTTGGAGGGTATCATGCTAAGTGATATAAGTCAGACAGAGAAAGACAAATACCACATGGTATCACTTACATGTGGAATCAAGAAAATGAAGTAAACTAGTGAATATAACAAAGTGAAACAGACTCAGAGATACAGGGAACAAACTAGTGGTTACCAGTGGGGAGAGAGGGGACGGGCAAGATAAGGGTAGGGGGTTAAGAGGTACAAACTATTATGTGTAAAATAAATAAGGTACAAAGATATGTTGTACAGCACAGGGAACATAGCCAACATTCTATAATAATGATACATGGAGTATAATCTTTAAAAATTGAGAATCATAGTTGCACACCTGTAACTTATATACTATTG